AGTGGAGGAAGACTATTGGATTTCAGGCATAAAACAATGCAGAAAAAAATCTCAAGGCATCATAGGGAGAGGGAGATAACTTCTGACTCTGGTTTCCCATGCTTCAGGCAAGAAAGAGCAAGGGGAGAAAAATATCTGTCCATGGGAACAAGTAATCATGCTTTAAAGGACAATTTCATTCGAACCCATTCATTTCCTTTTCATGCAAAATTTCGAAGATAAAGCAACATAAAATATGGGGCCAAAGAAAAGGGAGAAGGTCTTCAAGGAGAATTTGTGCCTTTAAGTTTTTACTGGTACAACAGTCCATCAGCCTGGAGGTACTCAAAGACGAATCATGAAAAAGAAAAAAAACTTTATTTCAAGCAGGTTCAGTGATATATGTGTGTGCTATAGCAAAGCCTGGTTGTGGCAAAGTTTCATTTCAAACTATATGATGTGGGCTGGGGAAGGTGGCTCACGCCTGTAATCCCAGCACTTTGTGAGGCCTAGGTGGGCTGATTACCCTGAGGTCAAGAGAGACTGGCCTGGCCAACATGCCAAAACCCCGTCTCTACTAACAATACAAAAATTAGCTAGATGTGGTGGCGTGCACCTGTAATCTCAGCTACTAGGGAGGCTGAGGCAGGAGAATCGCTTGAACCCGGGAGGCAGAGGTTGCAGATCACACCACTGCACTCCAGCCTGGGTGACAGAGCCAGACTCAAAAACAAAAGAAAATAAAACAAACCAAAAAACCAAAACTGCCTGATGCATAATTTTGACATTATGTGGGAACGCTTAACTTCTGCCAAAATGTAGATTCAATCCAACATTATTAATTGTAGTCCCTAAGTTTTCATAACCAAAAAAAAGAGAATAACCTTACAGTTACCTACTAAGGTAACGAACTGTGAAATCAATTCCCCAATATTGCTTTGAAAATAAACCCCTTGGTTGTTATGAGAAACTCTAACTTCCAACTCCATCCGAATGTATTATTTAACCGGTATTCTTCAGTCATCATCTACTGTTGGCTTGATTGTTACTCTTCTTCTTATCTGACCCCAACCAATTAAACGCCAGTGTTTTTCAACTCTCCTGCTAAGGGCAATTTTTTCTCCTACCTCTGTGCACACTGGATTGGTCAAAACAATTTTACACAAATCGGCCTTGACAAGTCTAACTCTCCCTCCTGTCGACAGGGATCCTATGTTCACCATGAACACTTCATTTGTAGACAGCTTTTGAACCTTTGCTGCCTTCTTGTCTCCTTCAGTGCGTACACCTAGAAGCCGTCTAAGCAGGAAATAGGAAATTTCCAATTCTGTGAATATCTCAGGTAAAGCTCTGACTGCACCAAGTACTTGCCCCATCATTCTGTCAGCCCGGCACAAAGTGGGGTCAATTTTTGTTCCAACTCCAATAAGACTGCCTGGAGCAGCATATTGCAGATCATGATGCTCTGCAAAAAGTGATACAATTTTGGAAAAGATTGGTTTACACATGAGTTTTCCTTCACTATTTTTGGAAACAATACCAGGTCTTCTATCTCCTGGCCC